GAAACATGCTATTGGACTGAAAACTTGTACAGAGATTAACTTTTTGTTTATCTTCAACCTAGTGTAAATAAGAATTCGTAAAACCTCGCTATTTTGACTTTACAATTTGATGACGTCACTGTGAAAACCATCTATACTAAAACAATGGATAGTGTTTTGTACGTGCTCTGATTGGCTGCTCAATCAGTGAATATCCTGCACTATTCACTGACTCACCTCCAGTTCCTCCGAGCGAGCGATGCCAAACTCGCGTAAGTTGCGAGCAAACTGCCTTCCCGGTTTGCTGCCGTAACAAACAAAGAAATTTCACAACTAATCAAGCAAGCTGTTCCCGAAATACACGAAGAAGGTGACGAAGTTCGGATTTGAAGTTTTAAAGCTTTGTCTTTTTTACTTGAATTTATCGATAAAACCGTTGAAAAGGTTTTTTGTTTACAAATGCAAATTAACCTGAAGTCTTGCGTTACTTTATTTAGTTGACTGGTTCATAAACAAGCTTAAAACTAAATTTAATAATCTTTTTTACATAATGATTTTAAATACCAAAAGAATCCACAACTCCTTTTGAAGAAATTTCCCCGCCAGAGCTAAACAAATGCCTTCAAAAGTTTTATTTGTCGGCAAGAAAAAGCGACGACGGCGGCCGTTCGGTCATTGCGCGCCAAAATTATGATCGTTAGCAACAGTAAATGAGTTAAAAATCATCATTTTTGTGCTCAATTTTCTCACTGCTTTAGTATATACTAAAACAATTATTCACCTCAATGTCAGTGTCAAGTTTTGGGTATTTACCTCGCCGCTTCCCGGCCTCGGTAAATTATCCACCATTAGCTACCTCCACTTTGGTGAATAATTGTTATATTTTTTCATCCCCTTTTTGGATAATCATATCTTAAAGTGTATAGGTTCTTTTACATATTTGAATTTTTCATTTTAATGCTACACCTTGTTTGACACCAGCTTTCGTTATTTCTGAGAAATGAACCATTTTGTATCCGGGTTAATTGAAGTTATCCTTCACAGGCACGTAGCCGGGAATTCTTGAGGGGTGGTGCGATCCAACGAGGAGACTGACCAAACCAGGCCGGTGGCTTAAGTCTCTAGATAGGACGTCGGAGACTATTTCGGGCGTTTTGAAAAACACGAGTATTTCTCAAACTTTTAACCTTCAAAAGATAGTTTTTTTCCAAGAGACTACTTTATTTTACAATTTTGAAAGGAAGGAAAAGAAAGTTCTGAATTTGTATTATTCGCTAGGTTTGCATCATCATGATCATACAATAGTCTGCCAAGCTCAAGCATACTTGGGTGCAGAAACAGATTAATGTATCTTAGATAGTGGATTTGCTTAAGAGCCGGGAATACTGCTTTTTGGCAACAGAAAACAGGGTTACACAAAAGGGCTACACAAAGAAAGGAACAATGTGTACCTTCATGAATTTCAAGCACAAGAGGATCCGTGATCCACCCCTTTTGATTGGCTGTGAAGCAGCCAATTGGAAATCAAGAACTTCCGATCCTTGATACAGGCTAGTAATTGCGTAAGGTCGATCAACATTAAGCCAGTCGGAACGATTGTGCTATTCCCGCCACAACAACAACAACAACAACAAAAAAAAAAAAAAAAAAAAAAAAAAAAAAAATTAAATATTATGTTGATTCCTAGTAGAAATTGCAAAGGGAGAAACATCATAGCGTCCCAGCCCTAAGACTTGCATTCACTTCTAATATGAAGGGGCTTAGAGTTGACTGATGCAAGCAACGCTCCTGCTGACCGAGTGATTTTTATACTACATGAGGATACTAGCTTCAATCAGGGATATATACATAACTTGCACGCAACGGTAAAGAACTGGATTGAGCATGTCAAAACTGCACCAGGGAACCTTTTTCTCGCTGTTGAAATAATAATTCATATCCAACACTTTGGAGGAAACTATGGGAACAAACCCTAAAGGTTAACGACCCACTTTTGAAAATAAGAAAGGAAAATACTTACATCTTCAGGAGGCAATCTGAGGTCAATTGTTTGATAGAGCAAAGATATGATAAGAACTACAGGCAGCCATTGTACAGTAAAAGACCACATGACCTTCTAGCGAAAGAAAAACGACAAGAAAACATTTTCTCAATCCGCACTACGAATCCTCCAAAAAAGACCTTACATGCACGACAAAATGAACGAGTAAGCGACGAATCAGAAAGGGGTAAATGCCTTGTGGGCACACCAAATCCCCTTTTTCTATACTTTAACATGAAGGATAAACAGGTTTTGTGGAAAGCGTGAGTCAGGGCTTGTCATCTCAACTCCTTACATTATTTTCAGTTTTACTACACAATCAGTGAACTACAGTTGAAACATACTATTAATTCACTTTCTTTTAAATGGTTGATCAAGAAAGATTGGACCTCTGGGGCCTGTAGAGGGGTGCGAGCGCACCTGTTCCATTCCTTGTTCGCAATTCAACGACATTTTCAACTACACGCTTTCAATAATCGAATCTTACTGAGAGCATTCCTACTGAGAAGGTTTATTAAAGCTCATCTCACAAAATAACTCGCCAGGTTTCTATTAGTAAAAGTGTGAAATTCTTGATAACAATCCAAACAGAAAAGTTAAAACAGTCGTCTTATACTGAACACTTTTCCGAAAAATAAATAAATATAAGAAAGGTTTATTTAATCAAGCGATTCATGGTCGATAAAATATATTTCGACACTCGGCAGGAGCAGCTCGGAGCTGGTCAGCAAAAAAACGTTTCTACAGACAATTGCAGTATTAAAATGATCCCTGTAGGAGCATAAATTACAATTATCCTTTTTCAGTTTTAGTTCACCGCCTCTTCATTTGGACTCGCGACGGGGACCCCGGTGCCAACTGAAATCAATTTGCTTCATAAGAATTAGCAGCTATGCTAAAAATGTTTGCATTGCTTCTTGTCTAAAAAAACACGTATGATGGTGTCTACAGCTCTGGGTTATTTGGCTGACCATAAGAAGACTTTACAGTTTCAAATTCCTACGAAATCCATTCACTAATTGTCTTAGAAATCCATGTTTCCCTCTAGCCTGTTGTTACTAATAACATCTTTTATAGAATTGTTTTATGTTGGCGATCGCCATGGAACAAATTTGATGACGTCTATTTTATCGAACAATGTCTATGAGATTTTACTAAGAAAGTATGTTCTCGATTTCCATTCATTTTGACAGAGAAAAACTAAAGCAGTGTCCTGACCTAGTCAAAGGTTTATACTGTATCTAACCTGAATGGATATTTTATCACATAAAGAAAAAAAAAATCTGTTAATCAAAATGTTTATTGTTCAAGTCCTATTTATTGCTTTCATTGTAGTGAATGCGACGCAAACCCATAGGGAGATAATAATTAAACCTTTTAAAGCAGTAAAAAAGCCAAAAATAACATTAACGGTCTAAAAGAAGCCATGAAGCTAAAGATAGTCTCGGTTTGCATTACTCTTACCTTTCTTGCCTTTGTTGGATTTACTAAGCAGCATGCACAGGTCAGAGTTTGCTACTTCATTCGTTTCGCAAGTTCTTTATAAGAACTGAATTTGACTTTCCAAATGTCGGGATTCTCTTACTGAGACACAATTTAGGGAACATGCACTGTCTTTCTTTTATTTCAAAATAGGTCGAACGACGAGAGCGTCATGGCATCTATCATGGATATTTCAAGGCGTTTTTGAACTACAGCTTAAATGTTTCCCAAGTGTTGGCTTCTTTTGACGTTGTGGATCTTATGGAATGTGCCTTTCGATGCATCACAAATTCAACATGCTTGTCGTTTAATATCGCCATATTACCCTTTGCCAATGCTACTAATTATGCTTGTCGTCTGTTGTCTTCAGACAAATACAATCAGTCCAGCAATTTTGCACCGAGTCAGGAATTCCATCACTATGCCATAGTGGTAGGTTAGACATGCGGTAAAAAAAATTGTTATGTTATTGAGAGAGTCTTGCTGATGAAGTGAATCAGTGATTTCTATTTTGTTTCATTATTTTAAAAGAAAAGCTTGTGAGTAATACCTTGTCCAACGCCAATCCAATATAAACATTTCACTTCAATTCAATTTACACTGAATTCGAACAGAAGTAATTCATAAGTGCTCCTACTAACAAAGATCGCTTGCTTCAAATTGTAAAAAAAAACAACAACAACAACAAAAAAACATACTTTGTTGTTCTGTAATAAAATGGAGTAGTCATTTTTTTCTCGTTTGGGATCAGTTCAATGTAAGTGATTGCCGCCCACTTGCAGACTGCATTCATTTTAGTGTTTTCATCATACGTTTTACTTTTCCAGACTTAAATAATGCGAAAGGAGTTTCTTGGGCCAGAGGATGAAGCTCCAACAACAAAAGCAATAGCAACAGTAACAACAACATCATCAGAAAATAGCAAGCTTTGTTGATGTTGTTGCTTTTGACTGACAATAAAAGTTTAAAAGTGCAAATTTAAGTAAAAATACATTATAGGGAAAAAAAAAAAGAACTGAAAGAATAACTAATAATTAAAAAATTAACTTAGTTGTGAAGGGTAGACTATCGATTTTAATGACATTTTCAGAAAATCATTGGCAAAATCAAAATACACAGACAAACAAACACACACAAAAAACTATAATACATCAGCATTGCATTTCAATAAATACACCGACGTGTTAATTCAATTACAATACATCAATTTTGCTACTGAATTTCTAAATTACTAGCGTCTAAATCAAAGATGGTGATTTACCCTCGCACGTACACGCAAATTCATACCCCCACCGTGGTACAGGAAGGGAGGGGAAGGGGGGAGGGGGTTGATGGAACTGTTATTGTTAAACACTCCTTAGCCGCCTCTATCGACGGGTGGACCATGGGAAGAGGCGTTGGTGCTGAGAGAGGGTCGGCATAACAGCTAATACTGACATGAATGTTTAAACCTCATCAAAGTTCGGACTTACTTTTGTAAATTTCCTTTCAGAGTCCATGTGAAAACTTTCCATGTAAAAATGGTGGAAGCTGTCGATCATTGTATAAGGAAAACAGCTATGTATGCCACTGTAGTGAAGGTTTCTCAGGAAATCATTGTGATAGAGAAGGTAAAAAAGATAATAACTTTCTTGATCTTCCATGAATTCTATCAAGAGCTTCAAAACCTTTGTTCATTGTACAATCGCTATTGCCGTCCTTGACAGCTTTGTGTTCCAAAGGGACCACTCATACCAGTTGCAGTAGGCTGGAGGACAAATTTCGCTTCGGGATACTTGAGTCTCTTTGCAAATCTCTGTACCCGTCAGACAGTTTGATATGTCGGAGTTAGGTGATGAATCCGGTGGGTTTTGATTCTCAGTTACTGAATAAGGTGCGCGGGAGCACTTTACTACTCAATTTTGGCGCGAAATTTCAGCGTTGGTAAATTTTATAATATTTATAAGGAGCTCCATGGGTAATAAAATTTGGTCATCTATGCATCCAAGAGAGTTGTAATTACATGACCTTAAGTCCGTCCACCCGTCCGTCCGCTGCACCACAGGGAAGTGCTCTTTTTCAATTGACAGCTGCCTGAAAAAGGGTGTCCATTTACCAGTATCAAATGACCGTATCACCAGTTCGGGAGTATGCCAGTTTTGGAAGAAGCGAAAACAATGGTTACGTCACCAACCATACCATGATCACCATGGCGATGATCATTTTCAAAACATACAAAATGGCGGAAAAGGGAGAGGAGAGGAAAGAGTATTGACCAAAATTCTCGTTTATTCTTGTTTTATTGAGCCTTTTATTTGTCTTTTCATTACTATGAATTGGGAAGTACCTTGAGGACAGGGAGTAACCATTCTTGCGCTATAGTTCTTCGCTTATCGCGCGCTTAGTAGGCACTGCGTACTCACTGCGTATGTAATCAGTCAGTACATGTGCCTATTTATTTCATTATTTTTTTTATATCATAAGAAAAAAAGAATGCTTTGGAAACAACTAAAAAGTGAGTTGTTCTATAATTCATTTCCTTATGTTTGCTTTCACAGTAAGTGTTAATGTATTTTTTCCCGTTGCTTCTGTTTCTCTCCCGCGAGTGAGCGACTGGCCGGAGACGACGGCTTTAATTCAGGTTATTGTTTTCATGCAAGCGAGTCATTTGTGAGTAAAATATCTGTTTTTTCGAATATGATGTTCTGTTGGTTTATGTCTTGAAGCGGTTCCGTCCAGGTATACAACAGGTTTACAAGGGATTTCTGAGGGTATTGTGCCCGCGTTTTCTTCTTGAAAACCCACAGAGTGAAAATCTTTCTTATCATCCCTGATCATTTTTTTTTGTCCCGCTTCAAAAAAACTTATTGCTTTCAATTATTCCACTTTCTGAAGTTCACTGATTATTTGGTCAAGCTTACCAAATGCAAGAGGCTCTTTAGAATTTAATATACATATTGGAAAAATAAGAATTATGTTTGTTACATGCTTTTGGATCTATTGATTAAAACGGGATACTACAGTCTTGTAGTCCACCGGATTTGACCAGAGGTCAGAGATCAACAAGGTTATGGTTTGTTAAAAAATATCCTCTTGTATGGGATGTGATGTTACATCCGAATAATGCTAAATTATTGTTTTTAACTCTGGGGTTGCCTCCAAACCAAAGGCATTGTAACTTTGAGGAGCACTTTTCTCCAAGTCTTCTCTGTGGGGACCCTGAAACAATTCTATTAGACAAGATTTGGCCCAAAATAATAATGATTACTGCACTTGGTATGGACACAACATGAGTTTTCCAAAGTTCTTTTTCATAGCCGGTTCTTCATGTTTCTATTGAACAGCACTTTCAAGAAAACATAGCTCACACATAAGAGTAAAGATACAATAAAAGTTATTTATTGTTAAATTTTGTTTTTTGTAAATAAACATTTTATTTTAGGTCCTGACAGTTAATTCTTTCCGTATTACTGCTTTTGATTTTTATGTATCATTTTCAATGAGTCGTATCTGACCTGCATGACTTGCTGCCATGGCTCGCTGGCTCGCATATTATACACGCTCTTTTATCTCAAAATCTTGTTTTTTAAACACCTTCTTGGACATGAAAACCAAAAACGAAAACTTAATTGATATAATGAAGACAGTAGCAGCTGACATTGATTTACAACAGTTATCTTGTGAGATGTCTCTCATGTATTATTTATTAGGGAGGATGATTTGTTGAAGACGATGCATTAACATAGATGCTTTTTCATCAAAAGAATCTCAATAATTTAGGATTTATTCAAATACACACATATTCCATATTATGACATCAAATGTGGGCTTATTGCTCATGCACAAGGATTGATGGGGGAGAGTGTGGCATTTTTCATGTTTCAGATTGACCTTTTGCACAGCACAGGGACTGAACATATTATGTATTTGGCATCTGTAAAGTATAAACAATATTTGACGCGAGGGATTGAACATTATGTAGAGAAAATCTTCACAAGCCTCCACGTCCATGACTCCTTCCTCATCTATCTCCTTTAAAGCCCCTTGAATAAGGGCCACAGTCTCTTCTATGGTTGAATGGTCATTGAGTGTGAGCTTCCACTTACAAGGTATATAAGCCCCCCCTCCAACCTGTTTCCCTCTTACCCATTTTTGAAAGGGTCAAAGGAGGGGCTTTTGTGGTGGGTAAGCCTGTGACCACACTACAAAGAAACAAAAAAAACATGTTTAATTTTATTGAGGTAGGGTTGAGTTTGGACATTACATTTTTCATTACAGTGGAACACAAGGCGAACCTAAAGCAATATTTTGCCCTCAGAGCACAAATATGTCTTTCTGAAGATATTTAGCATTTTGTCTTCCTGGTTCCTTTTCCCAGCTTTTTGGCACAAACGCGGCAACATGTTTGTAATATCTCCAGATGTTTGTCTACATTTTTGACGGAAATCCTGATCAAAACAAAAGAAATCAATATAAGAACCTACTCACACTGATTTAAAACTCATTCCACACCCATGATCTGGATCAATAAAGTGATTTCTAGATGAGAGTCGCATACATTGCCGGTGAACACGACCAAAAACAGATCTGATAGATTATAACTAAAACTACATAGACAGACTAAGGCATAACCATCAATATCAGTAACCCTTCCTGTCCGTTGGCAATTTTCAATGTGTGGTTGCCATTTTTACTAGGTTGTTGCCATCGATGAAACTTTGCCTGAACACACTTTACACGTTGTAGTTCTGAGGAAAATTAGTCTTGATTTCGTAAAAATTCGGCAAGATACTGAAAACTAAACATAAAGTCATGTACATAGATTCGATGCCCGTCAAGATGGCGGCGGCGGCGTCGAAGGCCATTTGAAAACTGTCGCTTTTAACTACCGAAACGTGGCAGGAAACTTCCCTTGACATTCAAAAAGCAAGGAGAAGGCTTCTTCATCGGTACTGCTAGCTCGGAAGTCCCGGATATTGAACGAGGAGACCTGGAACAGGCTTTGAAAAAAGCTCCCTTGTTTCTTGCGATTATTTTTTCCTATTTTTGCGTGTTTTTAGCAGAACAATGGAATCATGACGTCACCGCTTCTTCCAAAACTGGCATACTCCCGAACTGATCACGGTCTCAGATGTCAACTAATCTAGGTCACATTTTTACATTCACATTCACACCCGCTGTTAATAAATCACTGGCTCAAGTCAGCTTTTTTTTTTTTGACAAGGTCATCAGATTAGAGCGCTTAAAAGCACCGGTTTTTAAAATTTGTATACTGAACAAAAGGTACAGTGTTGTTCTTAAAGAACTGTTTTGAAAACTTAAAAAGTTTTAAAGTTAAAAGTGAAATGCCTTTTTCCAAGCAGCAAAGTTGATTGAAGAAGACTGCTCCGTACGCTATATGCGTATGTTATGACGAACATGAATGAATGGTACTTAGGAGCTATGTTTCTGTTGATCATTTTGGCACGAGGAAAAAGGAAAAAGCCGTGAGTTGTCTACCGACCCCCTTTTTACACTCTAATGGTTTAAAATTATAGAACTCGAGAAAATAGCCGATGACTTCAAGTCTATGCGTGAACGAAAAAACAAAAAAAAAATTAAAAATGAACGGAACGAATGTAAGAATATACGCAAAAATATTGCTCGATGGACGCCATCATTTCAAAGTTATATTGTATCACCCTCATCAGTTCACTATTCACTATGTGGCATTTAACATCAAAAAACTTTTACAATAGCTTGAAATTCCATAGAGATTCTAATCTATTACCCTTTTTATACGCTAATGGCATATTTATTTTCTTGTGCGTCCGGGGTTAAAAAAGCTCAAGCTCTGCGAAATTTCGTCGTTAAAGAGAGCTACCACACAGCGATGTTAATTTTTGGCCAGATTTTTGTGTTTGATGTCGTTATCGTCCTTTTTGTCCACAGGAGGATTACAGAAGTCTTTTTCGTCTTTTACATGTAGTTTAAATTTGGTCACGGCCTGATGTGTATTCGATGAACTTAGAAGTTGTGAGTCATAATAACGTCGTGATTTGGATTCTTATCCTGTTTGTATTGGCTGTCATGGTATAATAACTCACAGTACATAAAGTCTTACGTTTCCTGTTTTTATCTCACCTATTGTATGGAATATGTGTAAAAGTTTTCAATATGAACCGGTATAGTTTAAAGAACTACACTAAGACTGAAAATACAATTGATCGACAACATACAGATCGGGGGCGCCAGTTTCCCTTTCGTAAACGGCCTTTGCCATTTTTAACGGGCGGTGCCACCATCTGGATTTCGTACGGGTAGATCTACACTACCGCAAATTTTAACTCTGCGTAGGCTCATAGAGGGAATAAAAGGAAAACAGCTACCTGCAATATTGACTTTCGTAGACTTCAGTAAAGCCTTTGATTGAAGGCATATGGAATTCCAACAAAGATAGTGGATGCCATCAGCATACTCTACAAGGACCGAAGCCCAGGTGATAACTCCTGATGGTAATACGGAATTCTTTGAAATTCTTGCGGGAGTTCTGCAAGGAGACACACTCGCACCTTTCCTATTTATCATAGTCCTGCATTATCCCCTTAGAGAAGCTACTAGAGAAACAATACGATAAGGATATGAAAGGTGTCGGTTCAAGGTCCTGGATCGACCTTTCGTTGCTATTTTCATTCTTTTCAATAGAAACACTCTCAATAACAGGTCAAAAAATTTCTAAGTCTCTTAAAAAAGGCAGTGACCGTTTACGAAAAGGGACAACTGCACCGGGAACGTCCTCGGAGACCCAGGGGCAGTCAGTCGGGTCGGGAGAAAAGGCAGGACGAAAGTTTTCAAGTACGGGCGAAAGAGCCCCTGGGTACCGACTCTCACCGAACTATTTCCAAAATTCCAGCAGATGCCGGTTCCTGATCGCCTGGGCACAAAAAATGCTTTGTATTATTGTGCCCAATCGGTGAACAGTTCCTCCTGAGTTCTTTTCGTGAGTTCGTGCACGACGGCTATTGTCTCGATCACGGCTTGTCTGGCTCATGCACAGGCGGCCCAGACGTAGTATGTGTCACTGAATGAATATATTAATATTCACATGGACAAATAAATGCGATGAGTCGTCGAAACTCCCATGGACTAAAATAGTCCAAAAGTCAAAATATAACAAAACAAAGCTAAGATACCTTCAACTGAACGTATCCTTGTCTTTCCTGGCCGGTTTAAGTGGCATTTTTTTGAGTTCTACAATTGTAGGTACTATCCACTAAAGAAGAATTAAAGGCTGGCTACAAAACAAACGAACCATCTCCACGCGCCTTCACACGAAGCGCTATAAATTCGAGAATAATCGACGAATCCGCTCCAAATAACCATCGGCTAATCTGCAGGTAACGTGTGCTCCTGCCTCTGGCTCGCTTGCTCCACAAAACCCATCGCAACTACGCAATAATTGTTCGCTCATCAACAACCACTGTTGACCTTTACGCTTCGATATGACAGCAAACGACCAGGTTTAATACGCGACGTGAATATTCAAGCTTAGCGACCGCGTTCGCGCAACAATGCAGCACTTGCTATGGGAGGGATGGTACTACTGCTTCTAGGTCAATCGACTGACCTAAGGCTCGCTGCGTTAGTTTTGACCAGAAAACAAAACGCGATCGCGGGACCGTCCGTAAGTTTTCAACAGGGCAGCCCTGGTTTTCAAGTTCGAATTCTTCTAACGTTCGCTGTCTCAGCTGCTGTCACATTGTTTGTCCAGCCGCTTGCATAGGTTCTTGACTCTACCAGACTTATTTGCTTAGATTAACGACGTCTTACTCCATAATATGTTGTCCAAACTGGTGAAGGAGGACGAGAATTTTCCGCCCAAGGAAAAAGGCAAAATCTGGCCCCCGCTATGCAGCTGAATCAGAAGATACAGCTGAAGATGTCGTAAAGTAAAATTTATGTGCGCGATATCTTTTATTATTATTATTATTATTATTATTATTATTATTATTATTATTATTATTATTATTATTATTATTATTATTATTCTCAAAACTCAGGGGCAGCCAACGATGGTTTCCCCCTAAATGCATTGAAAACACATTTAAGGCTGTCCAGAGTACTTTTGATCGAAAAATGCATTCTAAACAGCGCTTACATAAATTTAGTCAGGAGGGCTAAAATCGAAGCTAATGATTTATAGTTTGCTCATACTAAATATAAAATATATCGTGTAATGCTAAGCGGAGAAGGCAACGAGACAGGGCCACCCAACGACTGTTTCCTCAAATACTTTCAATTGAAAACACTTTTGTAGCTATTCATAAAGTACTTTTAGCTCTATAGAAATGCATTCTAAGTGGCGCTATAAAATTTGCAACTCCGTGTTCGGGAGTTTCGACGACTCATCGCATTAATTTGTCCATGTGAATATTAATATATTCATTCAGTGACACATACTACGTCTGGGCCGCCTGTGGCTCATGCACCGAAGAAATGCACGCCGTCAGGAAACTTTCAGTTTGATATAAAATCCCCATCAGATTTCAAAATATTATCTGCCCGAAAACTAAAGACGCTTTTCCAAAAATACAAGCTTGAGCTTACAACAGGTATTCACGCTTGCATCGGTCACGCGTCTTGGGTAAATACTAGGGAGTTTTTAAAAGACACCACGATGGCTGATAGCCACGAAAACGTCGCATGGAAAAGTGAATTCACATTTTTTCAGTCTCTATCGTGATTATTCCAACTCTCTTACTTTCTCAAATGCAAGCGCTGACTCTTCTGGAGCTGAATTTCTATATTAACCACATCCTGCAAGTTCATGAAGACAATGAATTTTGTCATTGCTTGTTTACGTCCTTCAAAAAACGTGAAATTAGTCATTTTCTCGAGTAGTCGTGCAGTTGACGGCAAAGAAAAGTACAAAAAAGCGTGATGCACGTGCAAAGTTGTTGTTTTGCCTTGTGAAGCTATTGCTAATTTGACTTTCTCGTCGCCGCTGCATCTTGAAGTTCCTATTGTTTACGATACATTGTGATCCGTCAAAAACAGAATATTCTTGGGGCAAATTAAATTGCTCCTGCTGAGAGCATCCCCACGTTCCTTCTTTTCATGTTAGGAAAGTAGGAAATAAAAGCTTTCGTCGCACGCACAAGCTTGGTGAACCAACCGGGCAAGTGTGGCGAGACAATAGCCGTCGTGTACGAACTCACGAAAAGAACTCAGGAGAAACTGTCCGCCAATTGGGCACAATAATACAAAGCATTTTTTGTGCCCAATCAGGAGGCGGCATCCGCTTGAATTTTTGGAAATAGTTCGGTGAGAGTCGGTACCCAGGGGCTCTTTTGCCCGTACTTGAAAACCTTCGTCCCGCCTTTTCTCCCGACCCGACTGACTGCCCCTGGGTCTCCGAGGAAGCACCGGGAGCAGCTATAGGATCACTTATTATTACTATCCTTATTTTTTGACTGTCATGGTAAGTCTCATTATTTTCGTAACCTGTGTGAACTCTTTTCAGAGACATTCGTAAATTTTGTAGCTCAAAAAATGTTTAAAAAATGGTTCCAATCTAGTTTGATTTTAAAGCCCCGTGCAAACGGACGCAACATATGTTGGAGAACAACTCCCAACATTGTTGGATGTTACATGTTACGTTCGTTTGAATAACCTGTTACATTTTGTTGCTTGTTGTTGGGAGGTGACGCGCAAAGTTTGAAACCGGTCAAACTCTTAGCCACATGCAAATGGACGCAAAAACTCGAAACATCAGATTGGGCCGACAACTTCGAATATCTTAAGATAGCTGTGAGTAATTAATAAAGCGGGTCATACTAGATCTTGTAGATGGTAAATGGAAATGGATATTTTAAAGTCGAAAACATATCAACTTGAATTTTATTCTAAAACACAACAGAGGCAGTAAAATTAATTTATCAGACCCTTCTCTGAGTGCGTATCCTCGGCGTTGAATAGCCAGTCAGAGCAAAGACCAACAGGCTACTTTTAATCGTTCGACAGAGATCTAGAGATTAGAGATCTAAATATCTGAATTGAATCGAAGCATTCCAAGAACAAGATGGCAGTATTTTTCTTTGCGCGGAGGTAATATTATGAAAAAATAAATGTCCTTTTAAAGGGCACTAAAGAAAACATTAATTTTTGCTGGTCATATTTTATAGGATCATGCCTCCCTGTAGAGGTCGAGGACAGAAGCGCGATACTCGATGCTAGAATAACTGCAAGTTCTTATTTTGGGTTTGGCGGCTCAAATCCATACTATCCATATTTTGGGCGGTTAAATGAAAACAGAGGAAGAGGTGGTTGGTGTCCCAAGACTTCCTCAATTTCTGAGTATCTTCAAATTGATATGGGCAGAGACCGTTTCGTTTGTGGAGTGGCAACCCAACAAGCCAAAGAAAATCAGTTGACTACTAGTTATAAGATACGTTTTTCATCGAATGGTACAACTTGGAAAACCTACAAAGAGAATAAATCTGAAAAGGTAAACATAGTGCAAAATAAAAAGTAAGAAATATACTACATCTTTTTGTTATTACTATTTACCTTAGGTTAACTTTATTTTCCTAGGTTAGCTGTATGCGCATATTTTTAACGCGGTTCTTAATTTTTATGCTGCTCACTTTTATAACATTTCATTTTAGGATTTTTAATGTTATTTTAGTGTTAGTATTTTAATTTTTATAGAGGACCCTCCTGAAAACCCCACTTAGTGAAGGAGGCTTCCTCTTACAATATGTATTTTATTATCATTATTATTATTATTATTATTATTATTATTGTTATTATTGTTGTTGTTGTTGTTGTTATTATAATTATTATTTAAATTAAAAACAGTATTATGATAGTGGAAATCATCCTTGCAGTTGAATAAACAACCTAAGCAGTTGATAAAGTACCTGAAAAAATTTAGGCTTGATCTGAAATATAACCCTGGGCCCAGTTGTTCGAACGCGGGTTAGCGCAAACCGGGGGTTTAATTTTAACCCGGGTTTCTTTTTCTTTTTATCAAAAGCACTCTCTCGGATAATTTTCTCTATATTTTTTAGCATATCCAATCATCAAATTGTAGGCAAAGAGAATTCAACTGAATAGGCTTTTTAAGCTCTCATATCTGAGTTCAAAATTTGCACTAACCCTGGGTTTTCTTAACCCAGCTTCGAACAACCCGGCCCTGACCTTTACGATGACCGAACGCAACGCTCTGTCATGATTAAGTGGGTTCATAAAAAAGCCGATGGTCGAAATGAAATCAGGATGGCAATGTATGAAATGACTTATATTTTGGAATGCGGATAAAGATATGAAAGTGGAAATGATCCTCGCTGTTGAATAAACAACCTGCCAGTCCGACAACCGTAATTTTGGCCCTGGCCAAGCGACTTTTCAGAGAGCTTCCTTATTATTTACTAACTCGTGGATCGACGAGTCTTTTTAAGCTCCTTTCACAATAAGTAAAGCGATTGCGATTGCATCTTTCGTCGCGTAAATGTTAAGGACGGCCAGACTATTAGAAGATACAATACAACTACTGTGGATCGGGACTTTGAGCGAGATACCAAAATATAGGGAACAAGATCTTTGATTGGTCATTGGCCAGAAATGCTATTGTCAGACCAAGACTTGCCAAGTTATCAGAGTAATTGCCAACATGACAATGTTGTTTATTTGATTCCGGTATTTAATTATAGCCCCTCACCAACATTGACGGAATTTTCAAAAAATGGGAACATTTTAAATTACCCTGTCGCGTTCCATTCGTAAATCAGTTTCGGTCGGTAGCCTCTGCCGACAACCGTTCAAATCCGTCCAGAAATGTGGACGAATAAATCAAAAAAAAAAAAAACGGGCTTTTTGCTGTTCTTGACCGGTTTAGAGCATTGCGTGAGTCTTGCGTGAGTCGATTGTCGACGGAGGCAGCTACCTTTTGCACGCCAGCTCACACAGCGAAAATGTATCCTCCGCTCGCAGGGTAGAAGTAAGGGGAAGAATCCCAAAGCAAACATCAACTTTTGCTCAACATACTTTTCAAGCGACCAAAGATACATTCCCTTTAAAATCACTTTTTTCCCCTTAGGTATTCGTCGGAAAAAGAGGGATCTTACAGCATTCCCTCAGCACTACCGTCAAGGCCAGATTTGTTCGGTTTTATCCCGTTGCATACAGTTCTTGGCCATGCTTGAGAGTTGAAATATTTGTCGTCCGTTGATGCATCGACAAGCTAAGGCTCATTGAAGAGAGCGTAATGGTTATGTAAAACTTAGTGTTAATTTCTTGCTTACTTGAGGATTCATTTACGCTATGTAAAACAACAATTGAAAGCATGCATTGCAATTTTCGCCTGTACCAAAGAAAGCGGGAAAAGTGCTGTGCTGTCACCGTGATTTGCAAATGGTCACTTATTAGTAGGTGATTAAGCTAGGACCACCTTGTGAAACATAACGTTTCAAGAAGCAGTTTTTACTTTTTCATTAACAATGTCAACTCTACAACAAAAATTCTTTCCTTACAGTTCTAATAAAAAACATGTACCAATTAATTCCTAGCAAAAGATATTTTTTTATTAGGACAAACTTTGTTTGATACCAAGCAGTTGCGCTCTTGTTCTTCAAAATAATACAGACAAAAGTTTGCGGGGAAGATGAAAGCTCAGTACTGCTTGATCGAAAAACGTTCAAAAGTTCTCTTTCTTCTGCGTAGACTGAATTTCACAGGACGAAAAATCAAGTATCCGTAAACTTAAACATAGTGGAAACACGTGACTCCGTTGCGGAAACACAGCGGCAAACGTGTGTTTCCGTTAGCGGATATTTTACGGTTTCTCATGTTTCCGTCGCTGCGTTTTCAACGGAACCGGAACACTTTTTTACATGTTTCCGACAGATTTCCGTTTCAGGAATCACGTATTTCCGCAATCGTTAAAGTGTGTTTATGTTGCGGAAACGCGATATTCCGTACCGGAAACCTGTTATTTCGTTCGTTCTACTGGCGGAAACGTGAAGATACGGTCCGGCAACCTGACTTGTTTTTCTGTGTTTCCGTCTGTTTCCGTTACTGCGTAAATACGACCAAAAAGTTTCATATTTGCCGAAACCAGGTTTTCCAATGGGAATTTTTCTTTATTCTTACATGAAATTAACCTTTGACTATTTTTCCTGTTCATTATATAAGTCAGACAAATATATACCACCATAAAACTGAAATCCATCTGTGTTGCATTTAAAATTTTATTCCATTTCCTGCACATAGACTCGTATTAAACATTGCTTATTTATGGTCCTATCTCAAACGCAGAAGTTGCAAAGTTGACATATAATTGTAGCGTGCTTAGAGGGTATAAAATAAGTGCAAAGATTCAAATGCACAAATTACATCAACAAAAAATGAATGGCTAAACTTTGACATATTACAAGTACTGTTTTTTGAGGTAAATTAATTGTATACTTCACAAATTGAAAACCTAGCCTTTTTTCAACATGCTAACAAATTTAACAGAGAATAATGTAATGTTGAATTCAAGTGCAGCTTATGGCTAGTGATAGTTTTGTAGCCTATAATATTTCAGCAAAGTGGAATATGATTTGTCTGGTGAATGTCCAGAGTAGGACTGTTGTTGACAGCGACTGACGTTTTATCAACAAGGTGATCATCAATTTCATGGTCATTGTCAAAACATCAGTTCCTGTTTGATCATTTTCCACTTTCTTATTTCAAATGAATCCTAGCCTTAAACCATTTAGGATAACAATAAAATTATTATATTGTGTCAGGAAATATTCTTACTCTTCTGACATGGTGTTCTAAACTACTTACAATTCTCTATGACCAGTGTAAAGATTCAAATGCAAAAATACACCAACAAAAAAGTATGGCTTCAGCCCGGGGGCACCTTAGGAATTTCTGTTCTGGGTGGGGATGTGCCGCTGGGACCCTGGAACCCTTAACCTATACCAGAGCTAGTTCAGCTGAGTTTTGCTACCCTATACTAGAGTAAACTCTCCAAATCCCCCTATCCTAGAGTAGCTGTTTCCCCAGTCTAGATAAAATCTTCAACCAACTGATCAGTTTCCTGAAAAATGATACCTTATTCTAGACTCAAACGCTCTGATTTATATACCCTATCCTAGAGTAAACTGCTTGAAAACCATACCCTTCACAGCGGCACATACCCATATAGCCCATATATGGCAGTACCCTCCCAGGGGGCTTCAGTTTTACATAATTTAAGTCTGCTAAAATTGTTTATGTGTTTCATGTATACCTTTTTTTACAACCTCTCACAAAATCAACAGATACTTTTAAATGAATCTTATAACCTTGAACGTAAACTCTGTTTCATTATCACACATTGATGAAGGTAATAATTATTATTTCAAGACCTTGACAGTTTTTCAAATTGTTTTAATTAAGGGACTACATGTATGCAGGGTGCAAAGAAAATCATTTTTACAGCTTGTCATCCGGGCAAGCTGAAGCTAGCATTTACTAGCCCAGACGTCATTTCAACTAGCCCCAAAAGCTTTTTGACGAGCAGAATTTATTTCACAGTTCTTCTGTTATTCGAATTTCTCAAAAAACATCACTTGCCCGTCGGGCAAGTTAAGAACAGAATTCACTAGCCCGATAGCAAAATCCACTAGCCCTGGTCTATTGGACACTACTTTCTTTGCACGCTGTGGGGAGTGTCACGAGGATACTGGTGTTTTAAGTCACTTCTATTCTCAAGTCATTACTTAGTGCTCGATAGCTGGATATTGGCCAAGCTCTGTTTTGTGAGGCCAATTAAGTTCCATGAACTTGCTTGGTTTGAGAGAACCTTCTGCGCCAAAATCACAAACCAAGGTGATCTGACTGTTCTATGAAAAACAAAACAAATTGCCTTTAAGTAAAATTTGACAGAGGCTATTCCGCAGGCAATCAGCGGGAGGAAAAACCTTTTTTGCAGTAAGAAAACTACACGTACTAAATGAATAATATATAAATCACACATGTACATGTATACAGTTGTGTTTCGTAGTTATATAGTCAGGATGTTATGTTCCCTGCACAATAAGACTGTGGACCAAGGGTTTAATGCAAACAGAGGCTGTCTGTAATGCATCAGTCAATTCCAGCTGCGCCTAGCTCCCCCCCCCCCCCCCCCCAGCAATAAATTGAAGAGGGTTGTAAATTTTATGAATGCATTTCTTCATTGCATATCAAGCACAGGGTCCAGAGGAGATGTGTTTGTAGTTAGAACATCAAAACCCGTCGAAAACCTCTGAAAAAACGGGTTATTTTGATCGCGTAACGGTTTCGTTACACATTCTATAGACCGCAAACCAAGAGACTGAGGGCTCGCAAGATCGGCTTACAGTATAAAACACGGAAAGGGAGGAAACAAATTTGGGGCCGATTTTCGAATCCCTGAAACTCAAATGGAATTGAATCAAATCGCCTGATTTTACTAACCTGATCTAGAATTCTTATGTATTTGCCAAATACTGTAGGAAGACGGCATAAGGAAGCGTT